CATACGAGCGGTGACTAGGATCATTTACATGCTGGTCTAATTCTAGTTTTGATTTCCTATTTAAGTACCACCAAAACGCAGCCTGATTTACACCAAAACACAGCCTCATTTACACTGAAAAAACAGCCTTATTTACACTGAAACAGCCTGATTTACACCAAAACACAGCCTCATTTACACTGAAACACAGCCTTATTTACATTGAAACACAGCCTGATTTACAACAAAACACATCCTGATTTACACCAAAACACAGCATTATTTACACTGAAATACAGCCTGATTTACACCAAAACATAGATTCATTTACACTGAAACACAGCCTCATTTATACTGAAACACTTATAATGCTTTATAACTCCCACAATTATCGTTTGTGTTAAATGAATTTATAACTTTCACACTTACCAGGTGATACTTGAAGCTATTGAAGCTTATGTAAAAGAACCACGGCCCCACTGGGTGAGATCTTGGCCAGGTCAAGCTGTGCTGGGTGTGGGTCAAACCTTTTGGACAACATATGTCACGGAGGCCATTTCCAAGGGACCAAGAGCCCTGGACTCATATCTAAAGGTAATATTTTACTTCTTCAGACTGCTGCACCAAAAACATTGAGAAAGGTTTAGTAGGTTACAGGGTAAATGGACTGATTGGCATTAGAATAATGCGGCTCGAATTGTTCTCCGCAAAAGCAAGTTCGACCATGCAAAAACACTTCTGAGAGAGTTGCATTGGCTGCTGGTGCGTGCTCGCATTGAGTACAAAATCGCAACTTTGTGCTACCGCTGTTTACATGGCCTGGCGCCGTCCTTAGTTTTTGTAGTGTTGCGTTTGTTTTAAATGTGGTAAATTATAGATTTTTTACTCTTGTACCGCGCTTCGAGCCTTTGGGGATGAAGCGTGTTTTTGAAATACACTTTATTATTATTATTATTAGCAAAGTACATTTAAAGTGTTCATTTCAGTTTTATAGATATTTAAACTCAACTAATGTCTGCCTTAGCACATCCAATTACAAAGCTAATAAGTTTATAGCACAGATAATGAGTTCACTGAAAAGAGATTTGATGTTTCTAAATTCTTTTCATAAATTTTGTTTGATTTTTTGACTTGGATCATCCTTAGCTAAACAATATCCAGATAGATGATATCGTGACATTAGTACGAGGCAAGCTGTCCAAACAGAACAGAGTCACACTGCAGGCTTTGATTGTGCTGGATGTTCATGCCAGGGATGTCCTATCACAAATTGTGGAGGATCAGGTCTCTAATCCTTTGGACTTCAAATGGCTGAGTCAGCTACGCTACTACTGGGAGGTAGGTCGGTGCAAAGAGGGGTGAAGGAAGAAATAAAGGAAGTAGCTGAATGCTGAATATAGTACCACCCTTTAAAGTTTGGTATGACGTTTGAATTTGTGAACATTTTCTTATACTTTCCTTAAAACTTGAGAATTTTTGACTATATGAACTAGTAGTCCTAATATCACCTTTGAGGCCGTTGTAGCAGTAAAACTCTAAAATTTGTGACTATGTGAACTAGTAGTCCTAATATCACCCTTAGGGCAGTTGTAGCAGTAAAACTCGAGAATTTGTGACTATGTGAACTAGTAGTCCTAATACCACCCTTAGGGCAGTTGTAGCAGTAAAACTCGAGAATTTGTGACTATGTGAACTAGTAGTCCTAATATCACCCTTAGGGCTGTTGTAATAGTTAAAATAATTGTCATTTAAAAGTAAATATTGAAGGTTAACAAAAATTCACAATATGTCTTTTAGGCATTAGAAGATTGATGCATGGAAATAGAAATTTCAGCTGCATGCATCATCAGCACTTACTTCCATTCCCTTGCAGGATGGCAACTTAATAACTCGCATGATCAACTCTCAACTAAACTATGGTTATGAATACCTTGGCAACAGTGGTCGACTTGTGGTCACACCTTTGACTGACAGATGCTACAGGTAGGTGACCAGACTGACTCTTAGATGTTAAGGTAAAGTCACATATGTTTGATATATTTCATAGTGGCTTGTATACGTCTCTCTTATGTAGAAATCTCAAATAATGTAGCCTTTCTGAGCTTACCAAAAAATGGCACACTTAGAGCCTGTCAAATTTAAGGGTGTAAATGTTCTGTTTTGATTGGCAGCTGGTAGTGGACTATCAGAACACACAGAACTGACAGCTGTGAAACATTCTTGCCTCAGATCAGTATATTAATAGTCAATGCAACCAAAGTCTCATTCGTACAAATTAAACTGTCTTTAGAATAACTGTATATTCTCATTGTAACACACTTGATGGTTTCGTGTGCAAACATGGTCTGTTACATGCCCTACCCATCCGAAAAAATGTACATGTAGAAAATATGGTACAGCATCAAATAAACTCAAAAAATTGTCATCATTAAATGCAATGACTGTTTGACCTCTTGACTCCTGTGACCTAAATTGGGTTCTCCAACCAATGACCTATGCTAGCTCTTGTTACTTGTAGTAGTATTAATTGCAATTTTCATTTATGTACTCACTTTGATATGTTTCATAGTTCTTTAACTCATTAAAATTTAAACTTGTAGGCTTATGAGAATAGTTCTCGGCTGCAACTGTGGTAACTTGACGAATATCCTATTTCTTTACCATGGGTCGATTCTGTGTAGTGGTCTCGTTGTAGATTGGTTGTCGGACTTGATTGATGTAATGGCGTAATGGCGTCCGAAGTATTCTTCCACTTCTGGGCATGGAATTTGAATGTTACGTATGTAACATCTTTGTTACTCTGACACAACTGTCACACATGCTATTTTATTAGGGTGTTAGCATGGTTAACTACTTTACTATCTTGTGCGTTCAGGATGCCGGCTTGTTTAATGTAATGCTTACTTCACTCTTTCACTCCTAACCTCTATCAGGCTGTCACACAAGAAATAGATGTCACTTTCCAGTTAAATTCACAGTACTTTATTATATCACTTTTCTACAACAATGATAATAAGAATCCTTGCACAAATATCCAAGTAATAAAATCCAGGATGCAATTATTTCACACATGTATAAATATATAATACTCCATGGTATGATAGAAAATTCACATGACAGAAAATCAACCACGTCTTCACTTCTCTTCGACATAAGAGGAGCTCCTTATCACTCAAAAACGTGCGGCTCACTTCCGCTGTACAAAACATAATTCACTCTCTTTTCCCGTGAAAAATACACGTTAATATAGTTCAATATTCAAATTATGCCACCTCCCTGACTCAATGGTTTCGTGTGCAAACTTGGTCTGTTACACTCATAAAGAACAAGATGAAGAAAAGAAAATAGATACCGCTTCTTGCTGGATACAATTTGTCATTTTTAAAAGTTATTATTTATCAAATTTATTCTAATTTGTCAAAGTTATTGTCATTAAAATTTAATTATTAAAAAAACAAAACAATTGCAATGATTTAGAACTCTATTTGGAGCTCTCCATCTCCACTTGGGTGGTGCACCTGAAGGACCAGCTGGCACTGGTAAAACAGAGACAACAAAAGATTTGGCCAAAGCTGTAGCCAAACAGTGTGTTGTGTTCAATTGCTCTGATGGCTTGGATTACATTGCTCTTGGAAAATTCTTTAAGGTACTTTAAAACAAAAAATAGCTTTAGTTTGTCGCTTAACCTTCCAGCGGGCACGTTCTTTTTGCAAAGAGACTGGACGCAGTGTATCAATTTCATATCGTTCATTAGAGACTGGTTAAATTAGTTTTTTTAATTAAAATTTTGTCAAATAATTTTTAAAAAAAATAATTTAACCAACATACAATATAAAATTTATACAAAATATTTAATTTTTTAAATTTGCTCTGTGCCCTTAAGATTCTTAAAATCAAACATTTTTCTACCACCCGCCAAGTCAGAAAACAGAAGTATCCTTGTATATATAAGAACCAGTATAAATATCTCGTTTTGGCATAATGTATCAATATAATTTTAACGATTTAATAATAAGATAATATATCAGAATGTATACTAGTATGAAAAAGTAACTTTCCAGAGCAATAAAATAATACAATCATCAAACTTCAAAAAAGTAACGTACAAAGGCGCGATGTATCAGTTTGAAAAAAACAGCCAAAGTCTACACTCTAAAAGCGTTTTCTGCTCACTAAATGGACTTGGCCTATAAAGGAAAGGAAAGCATTAAGCTACTGATAAGCAGAGCTGACTGTCATCTCTTATTAACGCGTGCCAAACCAAAACAGTATCAATCTGATCAAGCTCGCCCAAAAGGAAGGTTAAAAAGTTTTACACATGTTTTTAGTGACCTGTCTTTACAATTAGAGTTTTGTTTGTTGGATTTTCTTTAACTAAAAATAAACCAATTTTTCATGAACCATAACCAATGTTTTTGAGGCTTTGAAGTCAACATGTTGATTAAAGAACTGCAACTCTAGCACACAAATGATATATTTTCATAAACAATAATGAAGTTATCTTTTCTGTCCAGGGTCTTGCTTCGTGTGGCGCCTGGTCTTGTTTTGATGAGTTCAACAGGATTGACTTGGAGGTGCTGTCTGTTGTTGCTCAACAGATTCTCACCATACAGAGAGGTTTGTTCAGCTTGATGTTCAATGGGATCATTGATGCTACTTGCTACTTGTCAGTACTGAACTTCTGCATTGTCCCAAAATATATGGTTCAAAATACGTCATTTTTTACTTTATAGTTACTAATGTTTCAATAAGAAAGAACCCTTCTCTACTTTTGAAGTAATATTTATGTACTTATAAATATAATGTTATAAATAATAGAATATTCAGTTTAAAAAGCATTAAATGATTAAAAAATTTAGATTATAAATAATATATAATTTTACAGTTTGTTGAAGAGATATATTTTTTTCATGTGGAACATAAAAATTTCAGTGTTGGTTTTATGTACCCGGTAACAGGAATCAACTCTGGAGCTGAAACTCTGGTGTTTGAAGGAACAGAACTAAAGCTAAACCCTACTTGCTCTGTCTTCATCACAATGAACCCTGGATATGCTGGGCGATCAGAATTACCTGACAACTTAAAAGTAATCTATTGACAACTAGTTAAATTCTCTTGATGTGCTGTAGTCTTCCATGAGTAATAGAAAGATATTAAATACAAAACGTAATTCAAAAAATACACTTAAGTTAATAAAAAATAAATCAAATGTGTTTCTCTTAAGTTCATTAAAAAAAATTTTTTTTTTTCAGGCATTGTTCCGAACAGTTGCCATGATGGTGCCAGACTACGCTTTAATCTCTGAAATTTCTTTATACTCATGTGGGTTTGTTATGGCTCGCCCACTGTCAGTGAAAATTGTGGCAACCTATCGACTATGCTCAGAACAATTGTCATCACAAAGTCATTATGATTATGGCATGCGAGCTGTGAAGTCTGTCTTAACAGCTGCTGGAAACCTGAAGGTTTGTCTTCATGTCACTATGTTAACTACTGGCATCTGTCATTTTAAAAATTGGATTATGTTATAATTGTACTTATAAAATATGTCACTTTTTTTAAAGGCTTAAACTAGAAAAGCTAGGTACAAATCACAAAGATCAATGATTCAGAAAAGGTTGGTCTGGATTTTCTTAGATCAAAAAAATATTTGAGAGAAAATGTAAAAATTCCTTGTTAAATAAGTATTTCTTAAGGTAGTCCCATTCTATGCAGTAATTTTATCATTCATATATTTTAAAAGCTATATTTGAAGAATACTTATAATTTAGTATCTTTGTGGAAATTATTTGACATTTTATTTGAAAAGCCATTGTAAGCCTGGTGTCCTGGTCAACTTAATTTCAAATTATTGTTTTAAAAAATGTCAGAAAACTATCCAGTTCACTTAAAGTTTATTGTACTATATAAAGTTCACATTTGTTACAAATATTTTTATTTTTTAGAAAATATCATGTGTTGTATTTTTAAGCAAAGCCACTATTACAAGCTGTGGACTTTATTTCCAGCTACGCTACCCAGACCAAGATGAAAATATCTTGATGTTGAGGTCTATCATTGATGTCAACCTGCCCAAGTTCCTCAACCAAGACCTGCCGTTATTTGCCGGCATAACGTCAGATCTGTTCCCCGGTGTTAAACTCCCAGAACCTGATTATGTCACGATGAATGAAAACATAAGAGCTGCCTGTGCTGAGTATAACTATCAGTGTACTCATTTCTTCTTAACAAAAATTCAAGAGGTCTAAAAAACATTTTTTAAATAGTTTTGTGCCAGATTTATTGGCATTTTATTTTATTTATTCCTTTCATTTAATAGTTAACAAAACCCCTCCCAAAAAATTAAATTTAAAAATTAATCAAAACTTGAAATCTGATTGATAACTTTAAATCATTTTGATTATACTTGCTGTAGCAAAAAAAAGTTTAGGCTTAGTGGATTTGTAAATTATTATAATTGTAGCCATGTGGTGAGTGGATGGCAAACAGTATTATATATTTAGTTATAAAGTCAAGAAATTCAGGTCCTGAGAACCATAGCTTTTTACTGGTTCTAATAGTGGTATTAGAAAAACTGAAGAAAACAGACACTATCTGATATAGAAGGGGTTAGGACACCCCATGGATGAATGGGAAAAAACTCTTAATTGCTTAACATAATTCTTAATTACATAATATTACAATACCCTCTAAAGATATAGTGACTTGCAAATATACCAAGACAATATACCAATTAAAGAGAAATAAAATCCCTTTCTGGCAAGATATAATTTATAGCAAAATTCACTAGGGTTCTTGAAAAATAAATTATTGAGCTTACACAAAGAGCACTAAATGGAAATTCCCAATTTAAACTGTTCCTAGTTGAGCCTGATTGCACATGGGCTGGAGAGAGAAGCCACTCAGTGTTATTAGCTTCCCCCCCCCCCTCCCCCCCCCCCCCCCCCCCCCCCCCCCCCCCCCCCCATTTATAGCAAAATTCACTAGGGTTCTTGAAAAATAAATTATTGAGCTTACACAAAGATCACTAAATGGAAATTCCCAATTTAAACTGTTCCTAGTTGAGCCTGATTGCACATGGGCTGGAGAGAGAAGCCACTCAGTGTTATTAGCTTCCCCCCCCTCCTCCTCCTCCTCCCCCCACCCCCCCCACACCCCCCCCGTGTTCAAATTCCACACACACGCACTGCCACATAATGAAAGTAAAAAAAAAATGTTATATTAGTGACTGGATTAGGCCTACACTACTTTAGACTGGGACTGGTTCCGTCATTCTTTGAGAAACATAAATATTTGTTTGTCTGAACTCTGTGTGTATTTTGGAGTCTTTCTAGTTTTGTATTAATTTATTCCAGATCTATGAAATGATGATAGTGCGTCACGGTTTTATGATTGTTGGGGACCCTATAGGAGGAAAAACATCAGCCTACAAAGCCTTGGCCAATGCCTTAGGAAGGATTTATGACCAGGTGGACATTTATATAAGAAAAATATATTTTAACAAGTTCCATTCAGGCATTTTGTTGTGTGGTTGACAGCCAGGAAAATTTCTAAATGACTTTGACGTGAACAAGGGTTAGGTAAGGGAGTTAGGAACTTGGCTTGCACATGTCATGAAATAACTTATGCATGCTATGAGTCTATTATTTCATGTCTAAATAATATAATTTTAAATTATGTAATACTAACTGACTTAGCTCAAACATATTTTATTGGTAAACATTTAATTTTAAGTAAGTCCAACATTTATATAAACCTAAAAAAAGAAAATGCAATGGACATTTTAAAAACTATCATCTTAATCTGAATTTTAATATGAAAAGTCTATTTTAGCATTTTACATTGCTTAATAAACTAGAATAATAATAATATTCTGTGAACCTTGGGATTGCATTGGATCAACTGAACAGAAGATGATGACTCTTAACATACAAAACAGAATAAGCGCAAGTTTTTTAAATTAATTTCTTTTGTTAAAGCCAGTTTTTAAGAAAATACAATAATATTACAAATTTTCACTTATTGAACAAAATCCCATTTGAAGAAAAGCAAACTCGTCTAGTACTCAAATTATCACACCATAAATTTTGTTCAGGGCCTGATGGACGAGAATCGTGTGGAAATTGTAGTGATCAACCCCAAAGCTATAACTATGGGTCAGTTGTATGGTCGCTTTGACCCTGTGTCGCACGAATGGTCTGATGGTGTACTTGCTGTATACTATAGAAATTTTGCCATTTCAAATGTAAGCAAACTGTTGTGATATTATGATTATATTATTATGAGCAGTTATGGTCGTTTTGACTTAAATATTTTATTATTGAGTTATGCATGCCACCACATAAAGATTCACTATGTACTATGTTTTTGTCAATGTATCAATGTATATTTATCTTAAACATTGATAGTCATTTAATTTGTTAAAGAAATCTTTAAAAATAAAAATTCTTTTTAAAATAAACTAAATTAGGAAGTTGCCTCCAGGGGGAACTACTCTCACATTTACTGGGATATTTTTAACTGTTTGTTTTAATAGAATAATGACCGCAAATGGCTGATATTTGACGGCCCTGTGGATGCTGTGTGGATTGAGAACATGAACACTGTACTGGATGACAACAAAAAACTTTGCCTTATGAGTGGAGAAATTATCCAACTCATGCCTACGACAAATCTTATCTTTGAGCCCATGGACCTAGAGGCTGCCTCCCCTGCAACGGTTGGAATGTTGTCTTATTAGCATATATGTGCTTGCAAACCCCACCCCACCCCTTTTCATAAAATAAAAAAATGCCACTACCTTTGACTAGCTTAGTAGATTTTTAAGAAACCAATCAAACTCATTGTCAAATACTTTGACAATTAGAACATGGGCAAATGTTAATAGTCGGCTTTGAAAGCCTATGAAGATTGTAAGTTGTGATCCACGATAATCAAATAAAATGTAGCTTTAAGTTTAATTCTTCATTGGTTTGTTTAATTGAAACTAGATTTTTTAAAATTAAGTTTCTTTTTAAACTTAATAGTTTAATATAAAAAAAAAAAAAACACTTTGAGAAAAGGTCTCAATCTGCTAAACAGGTTTTGTGATAGTTAAAAAAATTATGTACATTTAAAGTTTTAATCCACATTAAGGCTCACCATTCCAAAGCCTAAGACTTATGGTAGGATTTATGTTAACATTTGACCTATTTCTATTAATTTTTGCTCTATAATAATACCGTGAGGTTGTGATTTGATACCTGAATAAACTACTACAGGTGTCCCGTTGTGGCATGATTTACATGGAGCCATCCACCTTAGGTTGGAGGCCGCTGGTCAAGTCATGGCTCATCGCCAAGCCAAACATTTTCTTAGATACCATGAAGACCATTTTGAATAAACAGTTTGAGAGATTTGTTGATGCCGGTCTTGCGATGGTCCATAAATCAGGTATTAAGGTAATGTAATTTCTTCACCTTATTTGGTAACTCAACATTCTTGACCTACCCGTACATATATTCCTGAAATGCCATTCATATTTCTTAAACACTACTGGATATATTTGGACAGATGACTTAGTTATTTTAAAACTTTTTAACATTTTAAAAATAAAAGAAGTTTAATAATTATGCAGACTTAAAATAATCATTTTTTAAAATTATTGTTGTTGTTTTCCATTATGTCATCAATGTTGCATACAGTAGTCAATGTTGCATTATTATACAGTAGTCAATGTTGCATTATTATACAGTAGTCAATGTTGCATTATTATACAGTAGATCTTGAGGTCAAATTTTGTGAACACTCGTCTAACACACATCATCACCATTTATTAGACAATGGAATGCTTGAAGATGCTGAGAACACAGTGGTCCAGAATCAACATTGTTTTAAGTGTTAAACAAAGCATCAGTTAAATTAACTTGAGTAAGACATGAGATATATTATGAAAATTGTTACATTTTATAATCAACAAAATAATTCAAGTAAATGTCTTATAAATGTCCCCAGGAATTGTCCCCTACCACAGATCATAATTTGGTGGTTTCACTGATGCACTTAATGGATGCCAACATGGAGGAGTTCCACAGTGATGAGAAGATTACACAGCTTGATGAGAGGGAGATTGTCATGTGGCTGGAGGTAGAGTCTTGTCATGTGGCTTGATGAGAGGGATATTGTCATGTGGCTGGAGGTAGAGTCTTGTCATGTGGCTTGATGAGAGGGATATTGTCATGTGGCTGGATGTATGTTGTAATGTGGCTGGAGGTAGAGTCTTGTCATGTGGCTTGATGAGAGGGAGATTGTCATGTGGCTGGAGGTAGAGTCTTGTCATGTGGCTTGATGAGAGGGATATGGTCATGTGGCTGGATGTATGTTGTCATGTGGCTAGATGAGAGGGATATTGTCATGTGGCTGGATGTATGTTGTCATGTGGCTGGATGAGAGGGAGATTGTCATGTGGCTGGATGTATATTGTCATGTGGCTGGAGGTAGAGTCTTGTCATGTGGCTTGATGAGAGGGAGATTGTCATGTGGCTGGAGGTAGAGTCTTGTCATGTGGCTTGATGAGAGGGATATTATCATGTGGCTGGATGTATGTTGTCATGTGGCTGGAGGTAGAGTCTTGTCATGTGGCTTGATGAGAGGGAGATTGTCATGTGGCTGGAGGTAGAGTCTTGTCATGTGGCTGGAGGTAGAGTCTTGTCATGTGGCTTGATGAGAGGGATATTGTCATGTGACTGGATGTATGTTGTCATGTGGCTGGAGGTAGAGTCTTGTCATGTGGCTTGATGAGAGGGATATTGTCATGTGGCTGGAGGTAGAGTCTTGTCATGTGGCTTGATGAGAGGGAGATTGTCATGTGGCTGGAGGTAGAGTCTTGTCATG